CACCTGTCCTGTTTCTCGGCTGTGTTGGAAAACCTGTTATGTGCTGCTAGTTGTTGCTCGAATATGAGCCAGTTATGGACAGAATTTCAAAATAATTTCTTCTGAGAAATTGTATCTTTATAAATGTAGTTTCCAACGCCACCAACCGTGCTCAATTCCAAGTTGAATTGAGTGAGTTGTGGCCGAATTGCGAAACTGTCTTAGTGATGGAAAACCCTCTTTTTGGCTAGTTGAATGCCTTAATTTGAATTGGGACTTGTTATTTTGAAATTCTTGGTATTAACTGTGAGGACCCCAAAAATATATATATAAACCTGTGCATATTTTATTTGCATTTTCTTTAATTCTTTAATAATTTCTAGCATTATTTTCACTTGTTTCCAAATAAGTTCGTAAAAACACTTTTCATGTGAGAAATAATATAATTTTCCTAAGCTGTGAAATTTCTTGGTTTTGCTAGACTAAATTAATACATTTGGAGTTAGAATAATTTATCGCCTTAACATAAAATGCTAAAATACTTAGTCTTCTCTATGTTAAAATTAATACTACCTGAGTAGATTAATTATATAAAATTTCTTGAATTTCAATAATTAATTCCAATTAGTTGCTACCATTAAATGTTAATAGGAATTTCTGCGTTAAGATGAAAACCAATGAGTTTTAGATAAACATGATACTAATATACTAAACATACTTAAGGCGTGAAAATTACAGTCTTGTAAGATTAGTGTATGATTAGGCGTTCAAATCACAATTGGGGATAATTTTTAGAATTAAGTTAGAACCAAGGACTTAAGTGGAGGTTAAGAGGACAAGTGAAATGACTAAACTACCCTCCACTATCACAAATTATCATGCAGCCAAAACCATTTGCGGACAACATCATAGCCAACCTTCTCATTCGGCCAATGCAAATCTTCTCCAGTCCAACACGCAAGCCTCTCAAACACACAACCTCTTCCTACACTCAAACCCTTCTCAAAACCGCGGCACCACCTTTCTCCCTCCTCATTTCTATATCACAAACCACTACCGCAACTCCATTCCACCTCCTCTGCAACAATTCACCTCAGACCACACTCCACCTTCACCTCGTTAACATCGACTGAGATAGAGAGGGAGAGACTGAGCCGCACTCTGCAATCCGAGAGAAAAGAAAGGAAGCGTGCGAGCTGCGAGTCTTCTATTCTGTCCATGAGCTTGAGGGAAGAGACAGTGCGTGAGCTGCTGCTGCACTCTCCACCTCCACTTCAACCAGCTGCAATCCATCTCCAACCGCAACACCACCACACCTGCAACCACCGGCAACCAAGACAGCAGCCAATCATCCATCGCGTGCGTGAGATAGCCGTGAGGAGAGTAAGACAACTTCAGCTTCTGCCGCGTGAGTAAGCTTCCAGTAGAGGTAATCTCTGGGCTGAAACCAATAGGTTATAGGTAGATTAAGCTGTATATGGACTTGCATGTGAGGTTGGAGTGTCCGGATGAGGAAATCAAAGAAAAGGAAAATCTGATTTTTGATGGAAATAGTTTTGCCGAGAAGCCGAAACAGAAATGCAGCTTTAATCTTGTTTCTTTGGAGTAATCTGAGCTTTTAAATGTTGTTAACTAACTAAGAACTAGGTGATTAAGTCTTGCCTGAAGTTAGTTAGTTCGGATTAAGCTAGAAAAGAAGAGATGAAACAGAATCGGCTTGCTTGCAAGCTCATCCGAGAGTGGCCGAACAACTTGCTGGTTGATTGATGAATTTTTGGTAACAACCGAGCTGAATCTGGACTGGAAATGCTAGCTAATTAGTTCAGTAGTTGTGCATGTGAGATTTAAGTGCCAAATACAAGGTTTTAACCGAAGGAAAATTTTGTTTATGACTGAGTAAATGCTGGAAAATTTACTTGACTTGCAAAGGGAGTGAAACCAGAATTTGCAGTTGTTTCTGGAATTTTTTTCATTAGCAAACAATGTTTAGAAATGCATGAAATATATGTGTCTTAAGTCTTGTAAGATATTCAGTTGTAAAGTACTTGATCCGTTGGATAAATTGACCAAAAATGTTGAAACATAGCTGCTGCAATTTTTTTCCAGCTTAGCCGATGGTGGCTCTTTTGAGTTTTAATGGAAACTTGGTGAGTGGGCTCTATGAATTCCCACAATGACTTGGATGATCTGATTAGCTAGTCAAGTATTTGCTTGTCGGATTTGAGTACTTAATATCATGTATTAGCCGAGTAAAAAGTTGGATTTATGATCAATTAGCTGCTGGAAATTCTGTTTAGCCGATGACAGATTTATTGTGGTGGGATTATTTGCCAAAATTACATGTTATTTGTTTTATTTCATGTCGGAAAATTTTGATGGTGGGCTCTATGAACTCCCACCCTTGGATTAACGATTGATGATGGATATAATGCTAGTTTAGTGCTTAAATGGGTAGATTAATGATACCTAGCTAGTCTCGACTTCAAGGGATGTGTAGTTCAAAAATGTTCAGGTTTGCCCTGTTTCAATCGCACCCCTTTTTGCAGAATTTTGAGGGTTTCATGACTTATACATCATGTTTATATGTTGAATATATGGTGTATAAAGTTTCATTTAAAAATATTGGGGTTTGGTTGGTCAATGGGATCAATTTCGTGAAGCCAGTAAATCTGGAAAACTGTTTTCGTAATACTCTGACCCGCTTTTGTATTTCGGCCATAACTCTGTGCTCCGATGTCAAAATCGAGTGCCGTCAGCCGTATTTGAAACTAGATATCCCAGCCTTTCCAACGGTATAAAATGCATGTTCTGGTTCCATGTTCGTGAGCCAAACCAACCATTTTAAGTCGGCTATTCGGTTTCTCTGTTTTACAAGAACAAAATGCTGAGGCTGCAACTTGTGGCTCGAATTCGAGCTAGTTGCGCGCCAAATTTCAAAATGATTTCTTCTGTGAAATTATAGCTTTATGAATGTATTTTTCCAACGCCTTAAACTATGCCCAATTCCGAGTTAATTTGAGTGATTTGTGATCAAAATACGGAACCTGCCCTGCTCTTGAAAACCCTAATTTTTAGACAGATTTGATGCAAGGCTTGGTTTAGACTTGATAATTAATTTCTTGGTGTTAAACACCCACCAAAGGTACCATGAATGTTCTTTAGATTTTGCCTCAACAAATGAACCATGTTTAGAGGATTTTCTCTTGGTCAAAAGTTTAGAAAAGGAAATTTTCATACACAAGGCAGCCTTGCCTTAAAATTTTGGAAACTTGAGTGATTTTGTTAAGTGACTTTCCGTGCATATTTTTCTATGAAATTTGACAGAGGAATAACCCTTATATGGTAGTATTATACTGCTAATTATGGTGTTATTCTGAGGCTGTTTCATGGGTCAAATAAATTACCAAAGTTCGAGACTTGATTTTGGAAAACCCTTGTTTAACAAGAAACTTTTAGTAACTTTGAGTTACCGTATCTTGGTGCTCGAAACTCCGTTTCTCATTCCGCTTGTTTTACTGTAAACTTGGATTGCGACTCTAAAAGAGTATCAAATTTAAAAGGCTAGTTCCAATCAAGTGAATTTTACCGAATTTTCAAAGTTGGCCAAAAACCAACTTAAATCTGCCTTATGAACCAAAACAGTAACTTTGAGCCCATTTTTGACTATCTTCCATTTAGAATCATGGAAAAGTGTATTCTAGGAACTTTTAGTACTTTCAAAGAGGTTTTCAATAGTACCAAGTTTTCCAATTTTGGGCTTGTAGAGAGTAAGATATGATGTTTCAAAGATTACTTGTTAAATCTGGAATTTTCTAACTTAAAGGAAACTAAGGGGTTTCGAACTCTTCATTTCTGTCAATATCATTTGATTGTTTTACATTTGAATCCAGAGATGGAAATCAGATTTGTCTTGTGTTTTAAAACCCCACTTTTGAATCTCGAGTTACACGAATTCTTAGGCTCGTCTCCGCGTTAATTTCTTAGATTGCACTAGCGTACAATCTTCATCGAAAACTAGAGAATTCGTAGCGATATTGAGTGGTACTTGAATTATTGTTTGCTCAGGCAATCGAGGAGATCTCCAAGAGGAACTCGGAGCGGACGCCTAAAACGCTTGTTTGAGACCTATTGCGCTTGTTTGACTAGGTGAGTGTTCCATATAGGAATACGTAATGGAATAAGTCTAGAACATGCTCATTTCATGATTTCTAAGTGTTAAGTACTGTGTGTTAAATATCTACCATACCCATGCTTGAAAATGCTCGAATAACATGGCTTGATATGCTATGGTTGCATACGTCGTTGGAGTGAATCTCCTCGACTCTCACATGGTAAAAATGGGATAACGGCCAATGATGGCCTATTAATATGGCAAATGCTTGCCAAATAACCGTCATTACTCAACCGTTAACCGCCAACCATTAACCGTGAACCGTTTACCAACCCACATGACTACCTAATTACTTGACTATTTGCTCACATGATTTCTAATCTATATGATTATTCGATATCCGTGAATTACATGCTCCCATGAAATCAACTTGTATTGCTTACGTGCTTACGTGCTAAGTATCCACTTGATTACTTGATTATCATGAATCATATGTTATATGAAGTTGTCCATCATTGTTAGGGGTGCAAACGAGCCGAATCGAGTCGAGTTTTGAGCTTATCGAGTCGAGTCAGGCATATTTATATGAGAGCTCGAGCTCGGCTCGATGTAAGAAAAGAAAAACTCGAGTTCGACTCGTTTATGACTCGCGAGCTTAGCTCGAAATCTGGCTCGTGAATAGCTCGAGTTTCGCTCGATTTTCTAGCTCGCGTGAAGCTCGAAAGCAGCTCGAATTCTAGCTCGTTTGGAGCTCGAGTTCGAACTCGAAAATAGCTCGAAAATTTCTGAAACTTTAAGCAAGAATACAGCATTTTTTCCCCATTTTTTGACAAAATTTGCGCATGAAATAACTACAATTTTTCACATATTCTTGATTTTGAGGCCTACAAATTATGCACTAATACAATCATAAATGTCCAAATGTCCACTAATACAAATTATCCAAAAATTATCCACTAATACAAATTATCCAAATGTCCACAAAAATCCATTAATACAAATTATGATAACTTCACTGATTAGGAATATATTTAGCATTGTCTCAGCACATATTTGAAAAGACACATCCCTTCAGTCTCAGTAGGTTACCTTTGTAATCTTCCCTAATGCCAGCAATGGATCTACGAACCAACCTGCAGGCAACATGCAAGAGCTCCTTCAATCCATCAAGAGCTTCAAAAGATAGAAATATACTCATTAAAATGAAATTATATGAGGAAATACAGGTCTTTTAGTCCAATTTTTCAGCCAAAGCTCAAAATATTACAAGCAATCACAAATTTACAACACAAAATATTTGTTGTAGACAGGTTGATACATCCAATTGAAAAGATATATAGGCACGAAAGTCCATCCCCAATTTCGTTAAGCTGTTTTAGTCTCCCTCTACCCATTTTACAGAGAAAGCAAAAAAAAACTTGGGCAAAAATTAATTATCTTTGCAGAAGAACCTGCCCGGAAAAAGAAAATCAGATAACTTCAAACAACTCAACAAATTTCACGACTTTCTATTGAAACTATAAATACTGAGAAGGATCAATCACAATAACTCAACAAATATAACCACACACTAGTGTAAAAGCATCATGTGTATTCGGATGTTATAAAATAGTGCCTAACTAATAAGCAAAGCTGTACAACCGAAACTTCAGAGCCTAAAGAAAACAAGCCAATGGCAGTTTCAAGAAAATCACTACATAATCAATCCAATACATCAATAACATCCAAGACAAAAGGCAGATTATCCTATGATTGAAACCATATACTGAGAAAAACAAAGTCTGCATAGCAACCATACAACAAAAGAACTTAAGACTGCTTTACTTAAACATGCTTGAAAACAATCTTTGAAGCTCAAAACAGACCACCCAAACAAACTGAAAAAGATCAAATCTTTCCAATAAATCCATTGCACAACCTTTCATACAGAATGAAACATACCAACTGAAGCAGACCTCATAAGAAACGGAAACAGCCACCATTTGCATCTTCAACCAAAACCCTCCTTTTCAGCACATCTTTATGACAATTCCAATCAAAGAAAACCAAAGTCTAAATAGGAAATTAAAGGTAAATTACCTCAAACATCTCCAAAGTCAAGAAATAGGCAACACAATCTCTTGTTTATCCTTCAATTTCTGAAAAAACAAAAAAATAAGATAAAAAAATTAAGAAATTGTAAGACCGAATTTAAATATTATGTGTGATAATTTTATTTTTTTTGTTACCTTTTCCCTTTTCTTCACCCCGTGTACCTTACGACACCAATCTCCAGCACACATCAACATTTCTACAGTTTCTGGAGCCAAGGAAGCACGGTAAGAGTCGATTACTCTGGTTCCAGCACTAAATGTAGCTTCCGAAGCTACAGTGCTTATTGGAATGGCTAAAATGTCAGCAGCCATCTTGGGAAGAATCTTGTATTTTGTTGTGTCTTTCCACCACTTCAAGGCATCCAAATTCACGATATCTACCGTTGAATCATCTGCAGCTGTGAGGAGACCATCTTCAAAGTAGGTATCCAACTCATTCTTGATGGGTTGAACACTCTCAACGGTGGCAATGTGGGTCAAAAATTCACTCATACCCGAAACATGGGACACTGATGAAGATGCACTACTGCTGCTCTTGGTTGGATGATCATTGCCGACTAGTAGTTGAGAAGATGATCCACTTTGGCCTGAAACATGTATCTCCACATATTCATCATATAGGTCATACAAGGCTTGTCGAACCTTGCCTATGTTGCTTTGCACTTCATGTGGAGGATAAAGCAATGGAAAACAATAGTTTATAACTCTCATCTTGCATCTGGGATCCAAAATAGCTGCTATAGACATTAACAAGTTACACTCTCCCAAGTACTTATCAAATTTCAACTTCATCTTTTGCACCATTGACCGGACAAAATCATCTTCATCATCAACCTTACTATCTAGTAGTACTTTAATCCGACAAACTTCATTTAGATATAAATTTGCAGTCAGATAATCACTACCAGATATCACATGAGTTGCTGTCCAAAAAGCTTTTAAAATATTGCACACTTTTGTAACCTTTTCCCAATCTTCCAAAGTTGGACAGAAATCATAATTTGGCTCTCTATCTCTGTACCTGGGAAAAACATCTTGAAACTCCAGTGCACAAGTTAGCATCTCATAAGTAGAATTCCACCTTGTTTTGCAGTCATAAATTAGTATTTTTTCTGGCAACTGCAGCTGGCGTACAATTTCAGCAAATTGAAGGCATCTTCCATCTGTCTTATTGATAAACTCCACACTGTCCCTGATTGTTCCAACTATTTCTTTGATTTGACTGAGTCCATCTTGAACCATTAAATTCAGTATATGCGCACAACATCTCACATGAAACAACTTTCCTTTTGCTAATAGACACTTATTTCGGGAGAAAGTGTCCTTTAAACATCTCAGTGCACTGTCATTATTCGAGGCATTATCGACTGAGACTGTATAAATCTTGCTCTCAATTCCCCAATCCGTTAAACACTTGAAAATAGCATCCGTAATTTGGATGCCCCGACGTGGAGGAGGGACGTGCACAAAGTTGAGAACCCGTTTCTGCAATCTCCAATTGCTATCAATCCAATGTCCGGTTATGACCACATACTCATTTTTTTGGTTCTTGGACTTCCAAAGATCTGTAGTCAAGCTAATTTTCTTGACTTTCTTTAATTGGTTCTTCAATTTTGTCTTCTCTCTTTCATAAACTGATGTGCAGTCGTTTTTGTTCATAGTCCGACTGATTCTTTGCCATTCCGGCATCCCTCTTTTTTGCATCAAATTGAAGCCTTCTTCCTCCACAATTGAAAATGGATGCTCATGCATAAGCACCCATTCAGCAGTAGCCTCTCTCATGACCGCCATATCAAATCTCCCGGAGTGAAGGTAGGTTTGAGAAGCTTCGGCAGAATCAGTAGATGGGAAATTGATCTTTGTTTGTTGTGTTGCTTTTTTGAGTTTTTGCAATCGGATAGCACATGACTTCCTATGCCTCAGCAAACTTGAAGTTGTACTAGTTTTCGTCTTCTTGAACTTTGCATGGCAATGAATACACTCCGACATAAGAATTTTTTGATGGCCAACTTCAACATCTTTGAAGTCATCCCATGCTACTGATTTTTTTATCCTCTTTTTTTTCCGAAAAGCATCCAAGCCATCATCCGCATCAGCTTCTTCCACAACTGTTTGAGTGGTTGTATGTGTATCACCTTCTAATGCTTCATCTTCACTCCCTAATTCTTCATCACCAAGAGATAATTCCAGCTCTACATCAATGTTAATAGCAATAGCCTTGTCAAAAATATTCACCGGACTAGCGGAATCACCAACTGATCTATTAATTGGTGAAGACTGCTCTTGGTTGGACGTATCCATCTTATATTCTCAATTTTTTTTAACTATGCCAAAAGAAAAAAAAGGAACATGAGCAGCATTCTCTAGTCCCAAAACAGATTACTATTACTAGTAAACAAGTTAGTAGTAGTAATTATTTTCAAGAAACAAGAGGACAACAAGGCTCATAATGACAAGAACATACATGACCATGGAATGATAATAAGTAGCTTGTACTGTCAAGTGTCAACACAGTTTTCACCCCCAAAAAAATAAGTAATTAAACAGATGTCTCCTTAAATGCCACTATCCCATAGTTACTACAAGATCTGGAGCAATATCAAGCCTCTTAGCACTGTCTCCATTTCATTTTAAGCATTTTTATTATCAGAATCCAACAAATTATAAAATTGTAAAATCTTAAAACTTTGGGGGAATTGTAAAATCTTAAAACTTTGGGGGATAAATAAATAAAAATAATAATAATAAAGTAAAATGAAGGACCAAAATCATGATCCTAGGAATGGGGTCGTCTTTTCTCCTCTGTGGACAGAACATCAAAAAGCTCAAGTCTGATCATTTCCAATCAAAATGAAAATCACAAGATCCTTCCCATGCCATTTCAATTCAAATTCATACGATGGGAGGCATAAAGCAACAACAAAAAAATGCAAGACTGCAATACATCAAAATTTCTCAGGTGCGAGGAAATGAACCTGCGGACTTAGCCGGTTCTTTAACATGAAAGAAAAAATGCAAACGAATCTTCTTTCAATAAGAATTTTCAGCCAGGCATTTCGTCGAACAGGTTAGGGGCATCACAAATTTCACTAATTTTCTACTCAATTAAATCTATATTCAGCCCCCACAATGTACAGCAAAACCAAAAGAATACAGTCTAATCAACACACAGAAAAGGCCACGAACAATCGACGTAAAATTTGAAACAACATGCTAACGGCGGACATGGCACGTTCATCAGCAAACATGCTCTGAAATCTTTCAAAGCTTATGTTCGAATGAAAACTGAAATATAATGGAGAAGATTAACTTACAGTGGTCTCTCGCGGTGAAGGTTCGTGGATGACAGTGGTGGATTCCAACGGGATGGTGGTGCCGGCTATGAGCGGCGGCGGTTCCGGCAGCTCTTCAGATGAACCTTCCTTGCTCTGTTTTTTCGCAGCTTTGCTCCTTTGCCTTTCCTTGGAACTTGCCTTTCTTCCCAACCTGCCCTTAGCACTACAAGATCTTGGAGGTTGCTGAAGTGGAGATGGCGGAAGCGGTGGAGATGCAGCTAGCAGTAGCACCGATGACTGTGGCTGAAGTGGGAGGAAGTGAAGAAACTCGAGATGCAGCTAGCGGTAGCAGCAATGGCAATGACGGAAGTGGAAATTGGGAGTTTGGGACAGTCGGTGGCGAAGGAAGAAGATCAATCGAAGGAGTTAGCAGAGCAAACAAGTTAACCTAAGTGAAGGAAGGAGGAAAGTTTACCAACAGTGGCTGAAGTGCTGAACATCGATTATAGCTTAGGGCGCAGAGAACATGTAAATTTTAATTGAATCAAGGGTATTTTTGTAATTTCACACATACTCGAGCCCAACGAGCGGCTCGTCGAGCTATCGAGCCTAAGAAACGAAGGTTTGAGCTCGTCTCGTTTATCTTAACGAACTGCTCGAGCTCGGCTCGAGCTCGGTCAACACGAGCTTGAGCCGAGCTTTGACTCGAGCTGCTCGCGAGCAGCTCGAGTCGTCACCAGTCCTAATCATTGTTAGGCGAGTGTGTACTTTACCTCACTCGACCTATTCAAATGATGAATTTTACTTTTTGTCGAATTACTTGATTACCTGTGCATGTTGTAAGCTATAAGCTGAACTTGGGCCTTGCCTCGGTTACTGACCTACTCGAGCTAGGACGGGGCTCGGTCGGGTAGGTTGGAACCCTGGACAACCGTTTCAGTATACTCGAGTACTACCACTGGAGGGATAAGGTGATGGCCAGTCAATCGAAGGAGTTACCGATTGGAGTTATAAGGACGGGAAGTGGACCGAGTACTGCATCCTTTTGTGCTTGCTTTGCTATTAATAATGTTATTGCTCTCCTAGTTGACATTTCTCGGGTAAGACTCCTCATGAGCATTAATCTCTGAGATGAAGCAATCCTTGTAATGTTCTTCTAGTCAGACGAGCCACTATTTGTTTGACTAAAAATTCATGAATATATATTTATATGGTCATTCATTCCAAAAATTACGTTAGTGATTTTAGATAATTTACGAGTTGTACTCATAGTAAAGTTACCAGCAAAATGTACTATTACTACATGTGTTTTCAAAGTAGCAATTACCCGAGTAATGATTATCACCTCATGATAACCTGCCATTGTGTAACCTCGAACCATGCATATGACATGCACAACTTTCTTGATTTGTTTGAACTGTTAGAGTGTCTTGGAACCTCGCTGGGCTGTGTAGCTCATTCCACGTTGTGATTTTCTTTTACAGGATTTGAGACCAAAGGTGCTCGGAAGTAGTACTAGATTGTTTACTTTCATGAATGTAATTCGAGTTAAACATTGTAGTTTTGCCTTAGGTTGCCACTTGAACTGGAAAAGTGTAAACCCTGGATTTGTATGTGGCTTGTATGAATTTGTTACTTGGCTTGTAAGGATATATTTGAATTGATGTTTTGTTTCTTGGGTTGTATTCGGGAAGGTATTTTAAGAATCGACGTTGGCTATCTTAAGGCACTGTTATCTCTGAAGTTAATGTGATTCTAGAAACCGGCTTATTTGGAGGGAAACGATGTTGTAATAGATTAGGTTATACTTCGGAAGGATTTTTGCTAACTTGCTTGCGTGAGTCCTGGCGAGAGCTAGGCAGACTGCCCGCCAACCCTCTGGTTCGCCTTAGGAGAAAGTGGGGTCGCCACATTAACCACCTACCAAAAGTATCTTGGATGCTTATTAGACTTTGTCTCCATAATTGAACCATGTTTGAGATGATTTCATTGACCTAAAAGTTAGAAAAAGGAAAATTCAGGTACAAGGCAGATTTGCCTTGAAAATTCTTGGAACTTTAGTGGCTTTGTTAACTAACCTTCCACATGAATTTTGCATGAAATTTAACAGAGGAATAGCTCTTATATGGTAGGGTAATACTACCAAATTTGGTGCCATTCCAAGTCCATTTTGATGCCCAACCAAAGTCTCAAAATTCATGTTTCAAATCTGGAAAACCCTTGTTCAGTAAGAAATTTTCAGCAACTTTGAGCTGCTATATCCTGGCGCTCAAAACTTCGATTCTTGTTCTATTTGTTGTGTTTTAAACTTTGATTATAACTCTAATTTAGTTCCAAATTTCAAAAGCTAGTTCGCATTCTATAAATTTTGCCGAATTTCTAAATTTGGCCAAAAACCAACCTCGAAACTGTCTCGATAGCGCAAATTAGTGACTTCAAGCTGAAATTTGAATGTCTTTCATTTGGAATTATGAAAAGTGTCTTCTAAGAACTTTTAGTACTTTGGAAGTAGTTTCCAACGGTTCCAAGGTTTCTAATTTTGGACCTACAGAGAGTGAGATACGATTTTTCAAAAATTACTTGTCAAATCTGAAATTTTCGAACTTAAAGAAAATTGAATCCTTTGCACTCTCTATTTTCCTTCGAGATTGTTTGACCGTTTTACACTTGATTTCTAGATAAAAATCAGATTTTTCCTTGTATTATTAAACTTCACCTTTAAGTCTCGATTTACGAGTAATTAAGGCTCATTTTCATGATATTTTTCTAGATTGTACAAGTGTGCAATCTTCCGTGATAATTGGGGTTCTAAGTGGTAGTTCATTATTAATTGCTCAAGCACTCAAGAGAACCTTCAAGAGGATCCCACGGTGGATGCCTGAACTCTCAATTGTGCTTTACTTCTTGAATAACTTGATGAGTGTCAAGTATATGTGAATTTGATACGTGCTTAATTGCTATTAGTGATTGGAGATTTTGAAAATGCTGAGTTAAGTTTATACTTTATCGCACTCGTTCTCATTTAAGTGAAGTGTATTTGAATTACTTGACATGAAGTGCTTGAATTGCTTGAAATGACTTGTTAAGTGAATTACGTGAAGTATTTACGTGACTATTTATGCTATGGCTGCCTAAGTCGATTGGAGTGAATCTCCTTGACTCTTAAGTGTAAGCGTGGGGGGCACCCAATTCTTACTGGCCAACCTTGGATTCAAGCTGGCATGGGCTTGGTCGGACTCCTTTGTGAACCATGAGAAAAAAAAAGTTTGACCTATTGAGAGGTCTTACTTGGCATACTCGAACAGTATCGCCTCAAACAAATGAAAGGCGGGCCCGGTACAGGGGTATGTAACGGTGAACGGGGACGTGATAAGTGAAGTTCTACCAACTATAGCCTACTCGATTGACGGAGTGTCAATTCGTGGAAGTTCTTGATTGTGCAAGTGAAAAATAGCTCCTGAGAGTTCCTATATTCTTGAATTGTTTCTGTTTACTTTTCTAGCTCGAATTGTTATTTACTTGAATATTATTGGTTTACTTGTCAATTGAAATTGTTACTTGAACAACGTGTTTGCATGTGTATTTTCTTGGTCTCTCAAGCGATTGCTCACCCCGTAGGTTTGTTTTCCTTAACAGGTATGGACATGGAGCGAAACTCAGAGAAATCCTTTGGATGTACTTTTGTATTAGGGTTTTAAATATAATTGACTAGACATTGTGGCTGTTATATATTTTGGGAATTGATGTATCTTTTGGGAATCTAATGTAAGAATTGGATAACTGATGTATCTTAAACTCGTGATGTAAGACTTGGATATTCGATTATGGAAGCGACTTTCCTTTATTAGACTTGTATTAATTGTTATGTATCGTTAATCTTGAATCGAATTGTCTTGAGTCCTAGCGAGAGTTGGGCAGGCGTCCCGCAGATACCCTTTGATTCGCCTTAGGGAGAAGTGGGGTCATCACAAAGAAAATACTCAAATTGTTGGATATGGGAATGATTTATGCCAAAGCAATTGATAGTGTTGACCTCTATGGTTAGCCAAACAATAGTGAAAAATGTACATCAAGCCAAAACCTGTGGAATTTGCTAGGATGTTAGTCATCCAACTGATGGATATCCAATGCTATAAGATGATGGTACGGAACAAGAAAACATGGTTGGATACACTTCTACATCCCATAGATAGTGCGACCCTTACTCCAACACGTATATTTCAGGTTGAATGGACCGCCCAAATTTTAACTACGGGGAGGATAAGCAAAATTCTGTCCCTAATAGGCAACAAGGGTTTCAGCCACAACACCCCTCGAGACCTCAATCCTCTTCATCCAACACAAACACATCTCTTGAGGATATGATGAGAATATTAGTTGCGAACACCGCGTAACTACATCTAAACACCTTGCAGTTTCAGCAAAGGACGAATGCAAGTATATAGGATCTAAGAAATCAGGTGAATCAGCTGACCTCTGTGATAAATCGTTCGAAATTCCAAGGACTGGGGAAACTACCTTCTTAACTTGAGGTGAATCCAAAGAATGTAAGCACCATAACCCTCAGAAATGGAAAGAAAATTGAAGGGCCAAAACATGTAGTTCCAAATGATAAGAGCGACGATCAGATTAAAAAAGAGCTAGAGGAAGAAGTCAGAAATAAGACAACTCCTAAGGTAACTCTCAACCCTTCAATTAAAATTAATACTAACCCACTACCTTTCCTAACAGGTTAGAGAAACCAAAAAGACAAGATAAGGAGAAGGAGATCCTAGAGGTATTCAAAAAGGTGGAGATAAATATTGTTCTATTGGATGCAATTAAGCAGGTGCTCAAATATGCCAAATTTCTAAAGGATTTATGCATCAATCGAAAAAAAATTGAGATGCGATGAAAGAATTGTGGTGGGAAAGAATGTTTCAATCGTACTAAAAAATAAACTTCCACCGAAGTGTAGAGATTCTGGTATGCTTTCTATCCCGTATCGTATAGAAAATACCAGGATTAGGAAGGTTATGCTAGATATAGGAGTTTCTATTAATGTCATGTTGAAAAGTATTTATACCTCCTTAAATTTAGGACCCTTAAAAGATACAAGTATTATAATTCAATTAGCCAATTATACTAATGCATACTCTGATGGATTAGTTGAAGATGTCTTGGTCCAAATTAATGAATTGGTGTTTTCAACTGACTTTTATATGCTTGACATGAATGATGAGTGTTCACTAAATCTGTCACTGGTTATACTTGGGAAGCCCCTTTTTGAGCACAGTTGAAACAAAAATAGATGTTAAATAGGACACACTTACAATGAAATTTGATGGGGAGGTGATTCATTTCAATATATTTGATGCTTTGAAATACCCATTTGACTCTCATTCTGTCTTTATTATG